TATTGTTCTTAAAGGAGGCATTTTGAAAATGTATAAATTGATTTTTGCATGAATTGTTATTGAATTCCTGAAAAAGCATAATAGAAAGCGCTCTCGTTCTCTGTCTGTCTGTCTCTCTGTTTATCTAAATCGGTGTGTGTGTGTCTTTCTCTGTGACTCTCTCTGTCTCTCCCTCTGTCTCTCCCTCTGTCTCTCCATCTGTCTTTCCATCTGTCTTTCTCTCTGCCTGTCAGTCTCTGTGACTGTCTCTTTGTGTCTCTCCCTCTGTGTCTCTTTCTGTCTCTCTCTCTGTGTATCTTTCTGTCTCTCTGTGTCTCTTTCTGTCTCTCTCTCTGTGTCTCTCCCTCTGTCTGTCTGTCTGTGTCTCTTTCTGCCTCTCTGTCTCTCTCTCTCTCTCTGTCTCTCTCTCTTGCTCTCTGTCTGTCACGCTTGCTTTGGACGTTTCCGCCAGGTTGAGACTGACCGACGAGAATACTGTATGTTGCGAATGTTTCAACAATTTTTTTTTTCTACTCGCTCATTTCCAGATGATTCTGAACAGAGAGGAAGCTTCATACGTGGTCAGCCTGGAAGTTCAAACCCCGATCGACATCATTCTTCTGCAAAGCGACATTCCGGTGGACCTTCTGGATTTTGAGAAAAACTCTGCGGTTGTTTCCTTCTCCAAATGCGACCCGGATCCGGCGGATGCATCGGCTACCGAGAAGGAAAGACTTTCCGGAATCAGGAACCACTTGCTCGCAACTTACCGGTGCCAGGCCAATACCACTCGCCTGGAGGTGAAAATCAGAACGATCGAGGGCCAGTATGGCACTCTACAGGCTTACATTATCCCGCGAGTTCAGCCGAAAAGTTGCGTCGTGAGGGCCTTTCCGATCAAGCCGCTGTCACTGCACACCAGGACCAAGGAGTTTGACAACAACAGGTTAGCACAACGAGGGGGTCTGACAAAAGTTCTGGGAATATAAATTGTGATGACGCATGATTTGAACTGAAAAACAATTATTGTTGAGAAAAATTATTCTTTGGCAGAANTCTTGTATACGAGAATGTTTGATTGCCAGATGTTTCCAAAGAAAGTGTTATACACGCATTGAGTCTCATGAGCCCGAAGTTGCAAGCTCACTTGAAGTTGTCCAAGCAAGTTCAGCTGATTGACGGGCTGAAAGAAATTGAACTTCACGAAAGCGACATTTCTTTCCTGGATTCCGAGTATCAAGAAATATTGAAGAACGCTGACCAGTTGAAGGCACAGTACAACAAGCAGCCGTGTTACTTGGACAGATTATACGGTAAGTTGAAGTCCGGTGTACGAGAGTGGTACTCAAGTTTTGCAAGTCTAGTACTTTTTCAAAGAGTTTACTTAAATTTCAGACGCAGTACTGCAATTGATAATCTTTCGAAAGAAAATTTATAAGGTTTGAAAATCGCATCAATCTTGACTATTTCCGTGATAGTGGCAGCGAATGTGAACATTTCCTGAAATTCTGATTTTCCCTGGGCAGGAATTGAAGGAAATCCTTGACAAATAGAGCTATTTTTATGTTTCATTTCTCCTAAAATATTTGGAAGGATCCTCTCCCTCCCCCGTTAATTTAAACTTATTATCATAGCTTGAACTTTTTAATTTTAAAACTTTATTTCAAGGTTAAAAAATTTAATCCTCCTTTTTAAACCAATGAATAGGGTCCCGCACAACAAAATGTATCTGTTTCCTAAAGAGTTTTGTTTTGCAAAACAGAATCCCCTCAAGCTATACATTAGCTTGAAAATATTATATTCAATTTTTATCCTAAACTGCCGCAACAGCTGAAATCAACAACTAACTCATTGAATGTCTTCTTTGCTTTCAGTCTTTTGCCTCAATTTGGTGGTTGCTTGTTAGGATAAACACATATTAAGAAGTATAAGTCTTATGGCCAGGGCAATGCAAAATGAATCTACTTCTCTGATACTGTACGAAGGTACTGTATAGGTGTGTCTACAGTTCAATCCAAAAGTCAACAGATCACAATGTAGACTAAATCAGCAATGAGTGCCAAAAGAGTTTTTGGACTCTCCTTTATAGATTCACCCAATGCTTGAAACAGGTGCATAACTGCGTATATAATAATGCAGAAAGTAAACTGGGGTGGTCAGGAGGGAATGACCAGTGACCAGACTACATAAATGAGTTGGTCTAATGATCATGGTTTTTGCCAAGTGGAATTGGGGAGCATGTGAAAGTTGTAATGAGAATGAGGTATTCTTAACATGTTTCAGGACTCATTCAATTATATTATGACACAATAATCATAAAAATTCTTTAAAGAAAACAAAAGTCCTTTTATTGTACATCATAATAAATCTATAATCATAAAGTTGTAAGTGTAAATTTGTCCTTTTTTAAATTTAAGTAATTCTGTCTTTTAAGCTTGTAACTTGTTCTTGAAATTCACAAATTTTTGGGACTGGAAAAGGCAACAATTGTTCCTTAATTTTTATGTTAAAGGATTTTACTGCTGTGCCTTTGGACAAATTTTAAAAAGCTAAGAATCAAATCTTGCTAAAATTTGTGCCTTCTTCATCTGAGTCTTTTTTTGTGTGTCAATAATGGAAACACACTTTAATGCACTGCACTGCAGTCCAGTCCGATTATTCATGTGATTTGGTCTCTTTTTTTCCCAGGAATGATCACGGATTTGTACATTGACCAGTACAAGTTTCAGGGGGTGAACGTAAAATCAAGAGTTCCTCTTCTGTTGGATCTATTGGACAACAATTACAGTCTGGATTCCCTGACTGAATTTTTTCAAGCTGATTTCTAAGTTCGGAATCGTGAGTTTTCAAAAAGCACTCGTAATTAAGTGTTTGAATTGGGGCATTCCAGCGTTTCTGGTACTTGGTGGAACTTATGTGATCTTTTCAGCGCAGATCTCAGCCTATTTGTAGTTTTTGTGATCACTTGTGAGACACTTCGTGAGCAAAGCTTTACTTGAAAGAAAGTTAATTATTGTCCTAAGAGAATTTTTTGTGTTCATCGCGCTTCTATCTCAATTTTATGACGAATGGAATTATCTCATCACTCTTGGGCTGTATTTCTAAATTTTATCATTTCAGGAGATGTGAAATCTCCGAATTTAATGGCACAACAAAATATAAAATTGCGACTGGCCTAATTTTAAAGTTGTGTCGTGACATACGTCCATGAATGACATTGCCGTCCTTTTTGATTGTGTCGAAAACATTTTTATGCATTTGATAAGCTTTGAACATATTCAATAGCATGCACTTTAACGTCTGATCGAATTATGTTTTTGCGTGAGTGTATCTGCTGTTCTAACACTGTGATGAAAAAATATACGTACATCTTTCTCTAGTCAGCACAGAAAAAAGTTCTGGTGTGGTTCAAATTGATATCTTCAGTTGAAACCCTCGAGAAATTATCTCCTCATCAAATTCTTGCATTGTACTTCGTTCATCGAGAATGTGTCAACCAAAACGGGGATTCTGGAAATTTGGATATAATTGCAAATGTTTACTATTCAGTATAGTTTCGACAAAATGATTCATGGATGATATGAATGGGAGTTCTTAGCAATGGTTCTCCAGTCAGTCGGAGTTCTCGCTTAAGTTTGGTTCTTATGTCATCTATTTGTATGCGCATAAGACACAGATGAAATTCAGCTGTTTTGTTTTTAAGCTTAGTATGAAAACGAATTTTCAATATTTTTTTTGCTGTGAATTAGCTGATATTCTGGTGTGTGTTTTTTTAAAGACATGCTTGTCTGTCTTAGAGTTACTTCATTTTAAAAATTTACCAGTTTTGCAACAATCTTAAGGTCTTCTTTTATC